ATTACAGTACGCTGCTTTTCAGAAAGGCAGGGAAGACTCTAGTGAGAAGGTTATACTTGAGCTCAAGTTGAAAAGAAGCTAGCCATGCAAAGATATGAAAGGAAACGTTGTTAGATAGCAACAACATACATGAACTGGAATATTTAAAAAATAGAAAGGCTTCACAGCTGGCAGGGCTCAGTGGTTCAGCATCGACCTATGAACCAGGAGGTCACTGTTTGATTTCCGGTCATGGCACATGCCCAGGTTGTGGGTTCGATCCCTAGTATGGAGCGTGCAGGATGCAGCTGATCAGTGATTCACTCTCATTATTGATGTTTATCTCTCTCTCTCTCCCACTTCCTTCCCCTCTGAAATCAATACAAATATTAAGTTTCAACTGCTAATAGATTATTGCTAGTAAATAGATACGGAATTTAATACTGCACATTTAGTTATTGTCTAAAACTTCAGTCTTTCCTATTTTCCAAAAAGATAATCATGCCATAAGTGAATAAAGTCTATTTCATTTCTTCATTCCCACTATGTTTGCCTGTTTCCATATGTTGAATCATTGTACTGGTGAGGCCATTCAATAAAATGCTGAATAGAGTGGTGAGAATAGACATCCTTGAATTGTTTCAATGTTAGGGGGAAATAAATTACTCTATGACAATAAGTATAATGTTAGCTGTGAGATTCATGTAGGTGATTTTCATCAGTTCCTGTATTATTAGATAACACTTTATTTTTAAGCCAGTGTGTGTTTTGTGGTGCTTTCAAGCAATAAAGTCATAATCCATGCAATACACAGTAATTCACAAGGTATACAGTGAAATACCAAGAACAGGTGGGGCGAGGGGTAGGGAACTCTACAGCTAGAGCTATTTTTTTCATTTGACCTATTCTTAATTAATTTAGAAACCAATTTAACAGGAGGAACAAGAACATATGACTGTTTTGTTTACTTTTTGGTAAAGTAATTTGAAAGAAAGAAATGGAAAAATTATTACCTTTACACTCAGGAGGGTTACTACTCCATTGGTTTCGCCCAGAACAAACAAGCCTGCTCTCTCCAACAAGGGAATATTCATCTGGTCCATTTGAAGGCTTACAACTGTAAGTGACTACTTCACTATATTCAAATGTATCCTTGTGGCTATTGCTGAATTCTCCATTGGGTATTTGTTTAGGAGGTTGACACAAAATCCCTTAAAAAGAGGACAGGAAAGGCAAAAGAAAAGGTAAAAGATTAAGACAGCATTAATAATGTCTTCAGAACTTCTTCAATAAATTCATTAACATATGAGTTCTATAATCTAGTTGCATATCCAATATCCATTTGGAACAAAATTTCTATGAAAAAATGTAATATCTTTTTCATCCTTAAGAGTATGTAGTGCAATCTGCCAAAGGTACAAATGGTGTGTTAAGGCAACAGTCCAATCGTGAAGTCTATATTTAAGCCACATATTGATGAGTGTGCAAACACATAAAACAATGCCACTATTCTCACTTTTTGAAAATTTTGGTTTTCCTTTAAAAAATATGTTCTATATATTAATATGTATTGTGCTTACTGTTCTCAATAATGAATTCATAAATAATTATTTTAAAAACTTTTCAGGGTTAATTCCAATATAATGGAATAGCAATAGCCATATCCCACCTGAAGAAAAGCTATGTGGGAGGCTTTTAAAATTTAAAAGCATGAAGTCAAGCCAAGGCCAAAAGTTTGAGAACTACTGCTCTAAATTCTAAAGAGAGAATATACTTACTTTCACACTGTGGGGGACTATCACTCCATTCCACATTATTTCCAGTAACTTCACAATATAGATTTTTTGTTCCAAGTAAGTAATAACTAAATGAGAACGGGAAAAAATACTGATTTCTTTCTCAGTTAAGAAGAAATCCATAATTACAAAGAAAAACTTTATGTGGTTGTTTCTCTGCACTTCAGTGGGCTTGAGGGAGAAGTTTCTTAAACCGAATATATTGAACATGCTAAACAAACCTGCAACTTAATGAAAGAGTTTCTGCATTTGAACACACATTGGTCTGGAGAAAAATGTCTACAAAGTCTGTCGGGCCTGAGAGTCTGGCCTCTTTTCTGTCTTCAGGAGGCACATCCACATTCACTTCTCCGAACTGGCTCATGCCATTTGGCTCAGTCATACACCAACTGAGCAGAGCGATCTGGGCCTCGCGTTTACCTGCCTGGATTCCAGTCCCAGCTCCAAGACTGGCTTGTTATTTGAGCTTCATGTTTCTATTTCTCAGATTTCTTTTCTATGAAAACAGTATAATAGTATACAGCTCCTGGGGTTCTTTTGACTAGTAGATAAATTAGCATCTGAGACATAGTGAGTACTATGTAAGTTTTAGGTATGATGAATCGGATGTGTTCCCAGTAGCAGCTCAGGAGAACTCCTTGATGGAATAGCTCATGATTTAAAGTCACAGAACTCTCTCCTCCTTCTGGACTCTCCTTATGAGTAAGTTTAGTTCTTTGGTTCTTATCATTTACTATTTTCCTTTCGGTATATGTTGTGCTTCTCAATAAGGCTAACACTTCTTTGACAATAATCTTTGTTTTAACCTCCACAAGGTGCCAAGCAGGCTCTCTCTATGTAGCTATTGACTGCATATTCACACTTGATCAAATTAAAATAGTCAGTAAAATGGCCTGCACACGCTTCCAGCTGACTTTTCCCGCAAGCCTCATTCATTGATCCTATATTATAATCTATTAGGAAAGGATTGTGGGATGGCGATGGGTAGGAAGCTTCAAGAACCGCTCTCCCCATTTTGACAACAATTTCTACTAGAATCTGCCTAATGTCACTGTTTTGAAACTCTGGAGTTTGTTGAAGGCTTGCAACTTTCAGAAAAGACTTGAGCAGGTAAATTGCACTAATATTGGTCAATTTCTGCTCTTAGCACAGTGGCAGCTACCCATGCTACCCCCATAGCATGCAGCTGTGCTCCTGAAGCAGTTTATCAGCAGACTGAAGGAGCCAGCATGGACTAAAAGGCTTGTATTCTCCAAATATCAGGGGTGCCTGCTTTTATCACTGACTGATCTTTCTGGTCACAGAGAAGCAGACAAAGACGTGGGCAGCCATTGTTGTCATATCTCGCTTTTCCAATGTGTAAGCTTTTTCTTGCTGACTGAGGAGAATTCCAGTGATTTCCTCTTCATTTCTCATGATTTCCCCTTTCAGAAGCCAGATATTAAGATCTGGGACATTTAAAAACAACTACAGCCCTAACTGGTTTGGCTCAATGGACAGAGCATCGGCCTGCGGACTGAAAGGTCCCAGGTTCGATTCTGGTCAAGGGCATGTACCTTGGTTGTGGGCACATCCCCAAAGGGGAGTGTGCAGGAGGCAGCTGATAGATGTCTCTCTCAACGATGTTTCTAACTTTCTATCCCTCTCCCTTCCTCTCTGTAAAAAATCAATAAAATATATTTTTAAAAAGGCAGCCCAATGGGTTATGAAGATATAAAATTATCACTGTTTGCAAATAATAAAATCTTATATGTAAAAAAACCTGCCCTAGGTAGTTTGGCTCAGTGGATAGAGTGTCAGCCTACGGACTAAAGGATCCCAGGTTCATTTCTGGTCAAGGGCACATACCTTGGTTGCAGACTCATCCCTGGCCCAGGCCCTGGTCAGGGCTCCTGCAGGAGGCAACCAATTGATGTATTTCTCTCACATTGATATTCCTATATTTCTCTCTATCTTTTCCTCTCTCTTCCACTCTCCCTAAAAAATCAATGGAAAAATATCCTCAGGTGAGGATTAAAAAAAAGAGAGAGAGAGAGAGGAAATCCTAAAGACTGTGTGTGCTTGCATGCACAAGCACGCAAACACACACACACACACACACACACACACACACACACACACACAAAACTGTTAGAACAAATAAATTAATGCAGCAAAGTAGCAGAATACAAAGTCAATATCAAAAATCAGTTGCTTTTTTATAGTGTATTACATTTACCCTGTAAGTGCACATTTTTATAAATGTCTAAATATATGCTACAAGAGGCGTGGTGCACAAAATTCATGCAAGGGGCTTGGCCCTCACAGCCCCTGCTGCTGCCTTGGCTCTTAAAGCCCCAGCATCATCCAGAAGGTTGTCCAGATGGTCGTCCAGTAGGTCATTTAGCTGGTCAACCAGCATATTCGCTTTTTATTATATAGGATTAAAAGAGTCCAAGAGAACAAAGGCTACTACTAGTAAGTGCGCAGTACTTGTTTTTGAGTCCTTCACTCCTTTATAGCTACCTCAAAACTCATGTTTTCCAACAAAAGGATTTTGATCAATATTATAGTCCAGGCTAACCAGGTCAATGTTCACCAGGTAACACTTTACAGAGTTATATCCATGAACAATATCTTTGGTGGGTAAACCTACCTACCAAGTCTATAAGCCCTCCTTCAACTCTGAGAGTGGGCCATTTTAAATAGGATATAATTTGTTGTTAAAGTAATGTCATCAAGATTACAAGTTTAATTCTAACGATAGGCTAATTCTTGCATATAGTATTATAAAAGTTTCCTTTCCTTCACTTTTAATATCTATTCATTACACATCTTCTCAGTCTGCATAAAAAGCCCAAGAGTTGATTGGCTGGAAGTACAACTTGTCACACAGACAGCAAGATGAACTCAACATTATAGGAATGCTGAAGAAGAGAAGCAAACTGAAATAGTAACACTTACTGTATTCCTCTAAGGAGCAACTTACCCCTCATTACAAATATAGTGAGCCTGATAACCAAACTTGTCAGCTTCATTTACATAAGATATATAGACTATTCGGCCATTGAGGGGCTCTCCTAGCTGCGGACATGTCTTTTCTAAAAGAAAAATTTCAAATGTGTTGTTACATGCCAATTTCAAAGCCAGTGAATACAAATCAAAATTTGATATTGCTCTTTTCAATCCATTTAACTATTTAAAGACCAAACTTAAGATTCACTTTTACCCTGACAAGCAATTGCCAAGAAAAATATTCCCAGGAGATTTTCAAAGACATTATTATCTAGAATCTCCATTCCCATGGGAAAACCATCATGGTAATAGTGGACTGTGCAGTCTAAAATGTGTGACAATATCCAGAGCAATACAAAGAAAAGCTGTGTGCACTTACCTGTACAAGCCTCCTGGAGAGGAGGTGCCCACGTGTTATCAGGCTGACAAACAGCAGTGGTGGGGACTAAAGGTACAATACGCTTGTATCCTAAACGACACTTAAATTCTACTCTGTCTCCAGGACCATAAGATGCTTTAGGAGGACCGTTTAACATCATAGTTTCAAATCTCATTGGATCATCACAGGCATCTGGGCATAAGAGAATAAGAACATGAAAAAGAAAAGTGTTTTATCTTTTCCATCAGCCTGGGACTGTGGTCGGGCAGCAGGTAGTTAGTACAAAATGAATGGAAAGGTCCTTGGCAAGTTTTTATTTTTTTAATAAATTGATTGGGGTGAGTTTGGTCAACATGAACATATAGGTTTTAGGTATGGGTTTCTGTGTTATATGATCTGTATATTGCACCATGTGCTCACCACCCAAAGTCAAGTCTTCTCCTGTTACCACATATTAGGACACTCCTCACCCCCCACCGTCTTCCCTCTGGAAAGCACCACACTGCTGTTTCTGTTCACGAGATTCAGTTTTATACCCACATATGAGTGAAATCATATGGTTCATAGCTTTTTCTGAGTGACTTATTTCACTGAGCATAATGTTCTCAAGGTCCATCCATCTTGTTGCAAATGGTGCTATTTCATCCTCTCTTATGGCTGAATAGTATTCCCTTGTGTATAAGTACCACATCCAGTGCTCTATCACAGGACACTTTGGTGGTTTCCATGTTTTGGCCACTGTGAATAATGCTGCAGTGGACATAGGGGTGCATATATCTCTGCAAATACATTTTAAAAGCAGATCTTCTTCTATGCCTTTCTCTTGCCTCTGTTGCCCTACTGCTGCCACACTGGATAGCTTGAGAGTCTGTGAATACCCTGAGCCTTGTCACATCTCTGAGTCTTTGCTCCCGAAGTTCTGAACACCTTTCCTCCCTGCTCAGCTGCAACTCCTGCTCAGCTCTTATCTTGTAGACTTACCTGCTCAATATCCCTAGGAAACATATTCTCCCTCCCTGAAGAGGCAGTGAATGGTCCCCTATTCTTGGACTCTCTTCTGCATAGATATCTCAGGTCACTGCTAGTGTTTTTGTGTTTACTAGTTAGCATGGCTGACTCCATCTATCCATAGGGCTGAAATACCTAGCACAGGATGTCCCCCAGAGTAGCTATTCAAAAGAAGTTGATACTAAACCACTGCTGTAGAACAGAGACAATGGTAAAGGACATGCAATGAACAGAATATTGAAAATAATCACTTGAAACTCTAGACGCTGGGAAAGGATTTGGAAAGGTAATTTCTTTTGCTGCCTATCTGCCAGTATCCTGGTAACCTAGCAACTGATAGGAAAGGGACTGCTGTCATTGTATTGTAATTTGTACACTAAGGAAACTAAGAAACACTGTGTAAGCACTTGTTGATCTCCGTTTCTTTAATTAGAAAGAAAGAGAAGACCTAAAATAGGCAGAAGAGACCACTTGTAACAATCTATTGTGTGTTTTGGTGGAATGAGATTGCTCCTGGAAACACAAGTTTTCCCTTCTGCAACTTGGCGGCAGCATTTGGCAACTACCTCTGAGATGCAAACCTCCCAGGCACAAGGCTGCCTACAAACCCTTCTTCTCCTGAGCTGCTTCAAGAGTGGAATGTTTGTTTTATCCGCGTAGTTTCCCCGCCCAGCTTAGTGATTTCTCCTTTTTACTTTCTCTAAGTTTTATTTTATCCTGATTTTACCTTTCAACCTTAAACTTCACCTTGTTTTTTATCCCCTTCATTTCTAGTTTTGTTCTCTCCCATGTTGTACCCTACATTCCATTCATTTTCCTCTATTCCAAAAAGCATGCACAGTATCCTTCAACTCTAGTTTGAAGCCTATTCGTAAACTTTATCCTCCTTCAAAAATTTCCTTGGGCCCTAACTGGTTTTGCTCAGTGGATAGAGCGTGGGCCTGCGGACTGAAGGGTCCCAGGTTCAATTCCGGTCAAGGGCATGTACCTAGGTTGAGAGCACATACCAGTAGGGGGTGTGC